CACAGCAAAGGGGTGCACAGACACTGCTCTGGGGGATATAAGTGTCCCAGTGACCCCACCTCGGGTGCACAAGCAGGAAGCAGCTGCACGGACCTGCACTGCTGGGACACTCTAGGAGTCCCCACCAGGAGCTCGAAGAAACAGTGCTCTAGTCAAGCGGAATATTAAACAGCAGTTAAAATCAACTGGGGCCACATGTATCAGCATCGATCTCAAAAGGGCAATGTTTATGTAGTTCTAAAACATTCATGCAAGATTTGGGCCAGTGTTAAAAAGGGAAAAACATTAAAAGGTGCACAGGGCTGGGGGGCAGGAAGGGGACTGACTGCAGACAAATCCCGGGGACCTTTTTGGGGGTGATGCAAACATTATAAAACCACATTACAGTAGTGGCCTCATGGCTCTATAAATTCACTAAAACAATCAGCAAACCATACACTTAAAACGAGTGAATTCTATGGCTTATAAATTATACCTCAATAAAGCTGTGAGAGGCAAAAAAAAATCCTATCTAACAGACCTAATAGTCTATTGTTTTAATAAGATTTGAGAAAGGAGAGAGAGAGAGAGCTGGAGAGAGAGAGCACAAGCAGGGGGAAGAGCAGAGGGAGAGGGAGAAGCAGACTCCCCGCAGAGCAAGCAGCCTGACTGATGCGGGATTCGATCCCATGACCCTGGATCATGAACCTGAGCCAAAGGCAAGATGCTTCACTGACTAATCCACCCAGCTGCCCCACTAACAGTCTATTTTTTAAAAGGACACAGGAATGATAAATGCCAACTGCAGGACACCAGTTCATTTTGGGGAGAGGGAGAGTTAGGGAGGGTATATAAGGGTTTTGTTTCTGCTATGTTTCTTAAAAACCAAAAATAACGATATGAAACAGCCAAATATGAAGATCTGACAGAGCCGCCCGGTAGAGAGTTATTTCATCTTATATATTTGTCTATTTGAAATAGTGTATTAAAAAGTACCTATTTTTAAAAAAAGATTTTATTTATTTATTTGACAGAGATCACAAGTAGGCAGAGAGAGACGGAGAAGCAGGCTCCCTGCTGAGCAGACAGCCCGATGTGGGGGCTCGATCCCAGGACCCTGGGATCATGAACCTGAGCCAAAGGCAGAGGCTTTAACCCACTGAGCCACCCAAGTGCCCCAAAAAGTACCTATTTTTAAAGGACTGTTGTGAGGACTCACTATACAGAGTTTCATCCAGTGCCTGGCCCACTAGAGGTGATCAGATTTCAGCTATTATGACTGCTGCTTTAACTACTACCACCACCACCTTACTCCTCTTAACATCTGAAGATCTCAAGGCAGAGAAAGACAGCACCTCCTGGTTCTTGCAGACAGGGACTCTCTTCTGAATCCAAGGCTTCTGTATATCCCACTCCAGTGCAAGAAATGGGGTGATCCTGCAAAACCTCCAGGGAACACTTCCTCCTCCTCTCAAGTCAGAAGATAACCCAGACAGGGAGGGTCTCCCCAGGGCATCACCCTAGAAAGTCCCCTTTCCATTCATTCCGAAAGCCCTGGGCTCTGGGCAAGGAGATTTGCTAGCACAGAAGGGGAGCAGCTCCCTAAGCCTTAACTCTCTCAGCCTCTGACAGAGGGAGGCAGTTCCAGGGGAGCCTCTCTGAATCACAGTATCATTGATATTATCATCCACAACAATCCCTACCCAACGGTCGGGATCTCAGAGGTCCTGGGGGTTTCTGTCCCTACATTCTCCAGACTGGGCCTATGGCTCTGCCCCTGGGCCCACTGATGATATCTGTGCCCACAGGTAATAGGAGGGTAGGGCGGGGCAGGGCTGATCATGGAGCATTTCAGATGTCATTTTGGTGGACCTAGTGACCCAGCCCTGGGCTCAGGGGCAGTTCTCCACGACATCAGCAGTACCTGTGACCATTCCTTCCAAGGCAACTGGGTGGCAAACAGGTGGTGGCCAAGGTAGCTGCAAATGGGGGAGGAGGTGGTGGAAAATTAGGGGGTGTGGCTAACAGAATTCTCTAACTGATTTGTATATTCTAACACAGAGTTAGGTTGAGGCAGGAGGTGGTGGGGGTGGGGGGTGAGATTATAAACTCCTACGAGACATGTCAGGAGATGTTTTTGGTTGTCACAATTTGGGAGGGGGACACTACTGGCACCTAGTGGGTAGAAGACAAAGAGGTGTTGCTAAACCTCCTACAATGCTCAGGACAGCCCCCCCACAACAAAGAAGGATCTGGCTCAAACTGTCAACAGTATTGAGGTTGAGAAATTCTGTCCCAGAGAGAAGGAACAGTATTTACAACTTGCAGATTGTAGAAGATGGGGGTTCAGAGAGCTGGATCGACCAGCCTAAGGTCACACACACAGTAAAGCTCAGACTGTCCCAACTCCCCTTGCCATGCTTTCTCTCCAGGGTGGCTGGGTCAGGTTCAGAGAGGAGGACACCAAATGGGATAAAAGCCTAGGCCCACACCAACAGCAGCCTCTGTGCCCATTTATTCCAGAGTGATGGGGTCCATGTCTTGAGAACAGGAGAGGGAGGCGCTGGTACTTTCCGCTGGGTTCGCGTCCCCTGCCATCACGGCACTACATCTGCCCTGTTTCTGTGGACGACTCAGGCTTCACTTTAGCTCACTGCCTCTCTTCATCCGGTGAGCCAAAAGCTTGGTTACCAGGAAGGGAGCCACCTTGAGTCACAAGAGTGACTAAACCCACATGCAGAAAAACAAGTTTTTGGTGAAATCCCTCCACACATGACTTTGGCACATTCCCAATCAGAGTGACATGGACACCACAGAGCAGGGAGGCAGGCTCACAAAGCTATGGCACACCAGCCCAGATGTCACATGGTTCCTCCCCTTAGGAAATGGGCACCATCACCCCCCAGGTACAGATGAGAAAACTGAGTCTCAGAGAAGCTACACGGCCACCACGTGGAGACCAAGATTTGAACCCAAATCTGTATTTTTAACTTGTCTCAAGGGGCCCCTAAAAAGTGATGGAAAGCTAAGCAAGATGTCCCTTAAAGCTGCAGAAACTTCAAAAAGCTGGCGGGGATGGATCTGACTGAGCAGAGGATGAAAAGCTTAGTCAGGGGGGTCACCAATGATGGCAGACTTCCTGGTTCTTAAGGGGACTCTGCTTAAGGAAATTAGGAAGGTATGGATCTAGGAATGGGTGTGCTCTAGTGGAACACCATTTTTGGGGATCCAACAGACTTGGACTGACGTCCCTTGCTCTGCCCGTGACTGTGACCTCAGGCATAGGACCTCACCTTTCTGAGCCTCAATCTCCTCATCTGTCAAACGGGCTCAAGAACTTCATGCATATGAACCTCATATGCATGTGCTGGGAGCAGAGAGGAGAGAGTGACTGGATGCTGATGCCTGGTTTGTGGTGACTGTGTCTATTCTGGTTCTGCCAGCTCACAGATTGGGTGGGAGGCAGCATGGAGAATTTTAGACTTTCTCTTGTTGCCATGTTGGTGAAAACTGTCTTCATACCCAAAAGGCAACTCAGTTACACACTCAACAAGCTCAAACAAGAAACCAAGATTTGGCAGTATTTGAAGCAGTTAACCAAAAAAAAAAAAAAAAAAAAGACAATTCAGCTCCGCTCTGGAATCAAGGGAAACTTCACTCTATTTAAAGATGCCACAGGTCCAGGAAATAGCTTCCCACCGCCTGGCTGAGGGCTGAGTAACTGGCTGCCTCAGCCAATAACAATAGCGACTCACACAGCACACCCTTTCTAGAGGAGAGTCAGAGTGGATTCCGGCTATCTCCTTTCAGGATTTTATAGGCTATTCACGGAGGGCATGTAGATCTGCTTTACAAGAACGAGCCTCTTAAGAAAATAGATCCAGAGAAGACTTGCAGGGAGGCCAAGGAGCTGAATTTAGCCAGCCAACGCCCTTTGCTAGTCATTGTTCTACACTTCTTTGTTAGGATTTTTTCCCTCCCTCTTGCTCTTTTTTCCTTCCTGGTTAACTTCTCTGCAGCTAGGCGCTGCCACTGTCCCCCCTCACCACCACGGACACCACAGCCCCCTTCCCTCCAGGAAGAAGGCCTCCCCAAGGCCTCACTCAGGCCCAATATCTCACAGACACAGAACCCCTCCACCCAAAACCTCTGAGGTGATCCCAGGGCCCCTTGAGCCCAGATTCAGGTACCTAGACTGCTGCAGAATCCATTTCCCATCTCGGGGTCACCGCCTGCCCTGGCACACCTTCCAGAGGCAGGGAAGGCCTGAATGCAGCTCCACGTTCTAGAACCTGCAGCTTTCTTGAGCCTCAGGCTTCCCATCTGCAAAATGAGGCTGCTGGCCCATTTTCACCAGCTCTAAACAAGATTCTCATTTTACACTGGGAGGTACCAGGAGAAAACTTTCCTACATTTTTAAACAGAAGTTATTGGAAAAAGAGGGCAGGGACTTTTTTTTTTTTTTTTTTTTAAACCTTTTCACGGTGCAGGCTCTCAAAGGAGCCATTCTCAGAGATGGCTCCGGCTGGATCCTCTGAAAGAACAGAGCCAAACTTGGCGATCCCCAGAGGGGTTACCTGTGGCTAGGCACTGCGGGTCTGAGTGCCTCTGGACAAGGAGGAACCCATCGGGCAGTCTGAGAACTGGAGCTTCTCTCTGTATCTCTCCTCCCCCCTTCCCCCCTTTCTGTCTCTCCGTCCCCTACATTGGCTGGGGCCAGACTTTTCCACAGACGGGCAGGAGGAGTTGGGGGGAGGATAAGGGGGAGACGGAAAGGAGAGGGGCGAGCAGGGGCGCGAGGCGGGAGGACGGGAAGGAGGGGAGGAGAACCGGGCAAAAGAGAGGAGGGGGAGGGGGAGGAGCTGGGAGAGACCCGGGCACGCAGCATTAGGGCCAAGGGGGGAGAGAAGGGGAGGGTGGGGGAAGAGCAGACGGTTCGGAAGTTTTCAGAACCCAGGGGCTTTCGGTCGCCCCCGGCGGGGCACGGACTCGAGGGGGCGTGGGGGCCGCGCGGCACTCACATAATGCTTGTTGGGCACCCGCCGCTTCTGCACGTCCAGCACCTTCACCTCCACGATGCTGCGCCGCGGCGGCATGGCCGTCCTCCGCGGGGCCGAGCGCGGGTGCGGGGGGCGCGCTGCGGCGGGCGGAAAGCAGGGGGGCCGAGCGCTCTCGAGAGCCCCGGCAGATCACGGGCCGAGCACGAGCCGCTGCCGCCGCCGCCGCCCTTCGCTCCGCGCGCCCTCGGGCCGGGCCTGCCGCCGTCGCCCGCCCCCGGCCCGCCCCCGGGCCCGCCCCCCGCGCCACCGCCCCGCCCCCCTTAAAGGGCCCGGCCCCGTTCCCGCCTCCGGCGCGCGGACCCGGCTGGCCCACGTCCGGCCTTCGCCGCGCCTTTGTCCCGGCGCCCTGCCCCAGCGTCCGGGGGAGGGGACAGGCGCGCATCCGCCGGCCAGTCACTGACTGATCGGTGGATTCATTCCCGCACTCGTTCAGCTCAGGAGCCGCGGTCCAGCGCCGGATCTCAGGGCCGGGCTCCCGGGTTCAAATTCCGACTCTGCCGCTATTCCGCAGCTTTGGGCAAGTTGCTTCACCTCTCCCGGCTCAGTTCTTTCATCAGTAGAACAGGTCTTGTACGACCACCTGCCAACCAGGACTGTCCTCCCCACGTGAAGATGCATGTGAAGCCATTGGCAATGTCTGCCCACTGTATAAAATGCTGGCAGTTTTAAACTCAGACCCAAGCCTTGGGGATTCAGGGAGTAGCCAGAGGCCAGGAGCTTCCTTTGCTAGGTGTACACTCAGAGATGGGGAGAGAGGAAGATAAAAATCTCAACAAATGCAAGTACAATATAATTGCAACAACAGTAGCAGGGCACCATAATAGGGTGTCGGATGGGAGCATGGGGCAGAGGTGTGCTTGGAACAGAGGCCACTGATTCCCAAACGTGGAGCTCTTCCTCCATGCCGAGGCACTGCCTTCTGCTTTTCTGAAATGTTCCTTTTGAACCGTCAAGACAACTCTGGGACGAAAAGGTGGTTGGCCCATACTACAGATGGGGGTGCCTGAGAACAGCCTCCAGACTCACAGAACTGGTGGGAAGAACCCATCCCTGTGTGGCTCTGGGCATATTTCACCAGCTAAGGTGGCTGGGGCTGTTTCACATTTCTTGATTTAGTGACTCCTAGCCCTGACTTAGCCCTGGTTTGGCTCAGAGTCATTTTCAGGTGACCGCTGAACCAATGTCTGAACAAATGTACACATCAGTGCATGGATAGGAGCCTGGCCAATGCTGTCACACTAGGAACAACACTAGTCATTTGTCCAACAAACTGCATCACTCCCCTCCAGGCCGGAAAGAGCCGAGGCTCCTTCCCACCCTGGATCCCAGGTCGTCCTTTGAAAGACCAAAAGGGTCCTCTAGGGGAGGGTGCTTCCCAGCAGCCCTGGCCAGGTTCTTGGATAGCAGGGTGTTGACCACTTTGGAGCCACCCATCCATTTGCCCCTCCAACTTCGTTGCCAGGTTTTACCGCCCTGCTCTGGCTCCAGAGGATGGCCTGTGTGGATTTCACTGATGGGCTCCCTGTACTCAGCTTCCTGTTGGGCTTGGCCCATGGGAAGCCCCAGCAGGAGACTGAGGGCAGAAGAAGAGAGATGTCTCGGTCTAATTTCCTGAGTTCTCTTCCTGCAGGGTTGTGCTTACCAAAGGTGGCCTTCCACATACCTTCTCCCTCAGGATTCCTGGAACCACCTTTTTTCCACTAAGGGTGTTAACAGTCCTGCTGTTGCAAAGCCTGGGTACTGCATCACCCCCACCCCCCCCGCCGGGGTTCCCCAAGCCCTGCTCACACCTTTGTAAGTGGACTCTAGTAAACTTCCCTGGTCCCCTGGTTTGAGAGAGGCATCTGTTTTATACCAGGACACTCACTGATAACGTTTCTGTAAGTTACGTTCTTCTGAAGAACCACTGTAAGTCAAGTTACTTGGAAATGTCCAGTATGTGGAAGGCCTGGGTTTTCTGTTCCTTTTACCTCGTCCTCTGAATGAGCCAAGCCTTCCTAATAAGGCAGAACCACAGAAGGCCGACACTAGAGGAAATCTGTGAATCAGCCAGCTTCCTCGGTTTTCCCAGAAAGGCTATGCAATCTGGCCGAGTTGTACATGGAGTGGCCAAGTTGGGGCTTCAGCTGTCCTGGGCTCGCCTCTTCTGTGGCAGGTCTGGCCCGGGTAGACAGACTTTCCTCTCATCTGCCTGCAGCAGAAAATGCAATGCTTGCATCTTTCCATGCTTTTCCTTTATCTTTGTCTTCCTTTTTACTGTAATAAAACACACATGACATAAAACTCACCATTTTAACCATTTGTAAGTGTATAGTTCTGGGGCATTAAGTACATTTGTGTTGTTGTGCAATCATCACCAACATCCATCTATAGGACTTTTTTTAATCCTCCCATATTGAAACTCTGTATCCTTTAAGCAATAACTCCCCATACCTCCTTCCCCAGTGGCTGGCAACCAACATTTACCAAGTATGTGACCTTGGGCAAGTCATGTGACTTCTGTGTACCCTATCTCCTGATGTATAAGATGGGAAAGGAATAGTCAATGACCTCATTGTCTTGTTCTAGAGTCTAAATGAGATAATACACATAAAGTACATGCATTTTTGTTATTTTTCTATTAGCCGATCTGAGACAGCTAAACATCTCCCTTTAAGTGCAAATCTCATGTACACATAAAGTACATGCATTTTTGTTATTTTTCTATTAGCTGATCTGAGACAGCTAAACATCTCCCTTTAAGTGAAAAATCTCAAACCTAATTTTAATACTGATTCTCCATTAATTAGTATTAAACATCTACTCCTTCCCAGTCCTGATCCTTTTTTAGCCCCTGATTTTGTGTCCAGTCACAGCTCCCACCAGTTGCCTCTGTTTTCCCCACATGTCCAAAATAGATATGACTTGTGATCTCTAGAAGGATGTATATTCTGTTTTTTCCTACGGGTATACCTTAGTGTAAGTGATTCATTTCCCCACCTTGCTAGTGACCTCTTATTCAACCTTCAAAGCCCAGCTTGGATATCACTTCCTCCAGGAAGCCCTGCATCCCAGATATATAATTGCTTCTTCATCCCCCCCTCCTGCTATCACTGTGTCTTGTCACAGCCATTATTGACTTCAATTAGAGCTGATTCCCTTGCCAGACTCTGAGCCCCCAAGGAGTTGGAATGGGTCTTATTTGTCTTAAGTCCCACAGCATCTGGCACAGACTATCATTGAGAGGCCCTGAGGAGATGCCTATGGGAATGAATGAATCCATCCCCATCTCCTTAACTTGAACCTAAGTTCTCTCCAGGGCTGGGCTTGCTTTTGTCCCTACCCGCTCCCCAGAGACCTCTTCACACCAAGCTTCACTGTGTTCACACTCCTGGGAGCACTGGCATGTCCCCTGATTGGGCTGTGAAGAGAACAGGGCAGAGGAAAAGGTAAATTTGCTGCCTTAGCTGACTTTATTCTTCTAAATTTCTGTCCTAGAAGTGCATTCTGCAAGCTTGGGAGCTGCAGACCATAGAAAATCAATGCCAAAGCTGATGGACCGCAGAATTCCATATGGCTGGTTTATATGGGAGGAGGGCTACCCATCCAAGGGGCACTGAGTCCATCATCCTGATTCAGGTTCTGGTCTTTTTGTGATTTTTGATGTCTGCCTGACTGTCAGGCTGTACTTCTCCCAAATCCAATGTCCCCAGGATGGACAGCCAGGCCCGGAGAGCTGAGGCCCTGATCTTTCTCTTCTTCTCTTCATCAGCTGTCTACATGGAATCAGGCCTTTTCCAGAACAAAGGCAGGGAGGGGACTTTGAAAGAGAGTCTTCCCTCCAGGGCTGTTGCCTGCCTGACTGACACAGCAAGATGCTCACCATGAACACAGCTGAACCTACAAATGCTCAGCAGTGGGGCACTTGTGGTCCCGTGAAATAGATCATAGGCTACAAGGAAGTGGGCCTTAGAGCAAAGTTCCAGGGGCCCAGGCTGCAGGGCAGAGCTTTGGGGTTTGGGAGGAGCTTGAGTAAAGTTACATTTTAGGAGCGGGAAGAAGGAAAGCACAGCTTCTTTGCATCTTCTCCCTTTTCCTGGCTGCCATAATTATCTTCCTCCTAAAAGGAAGCTCTGTCCATAATCCTCGCCTGCTCAGAAACCCTCACTGGCTCCCACTGCTCATCGATATTCATGTGCTAGAGATCGGCATTCAAGTCCTCCACCACCTGGGTCCTTTAGTGCTGCTTTCAGCCCTACATACTCTGTGCTTCTAAATTGTGCCTATACCTGTCCTTCCCTCACTTTGTAAAGGGATGTGTGTAAAGGGATGGATGTGTGTCTGATCAACTACCAGGAGCTATGTACAGCACCAGACATTCCACACCCATTTCTCGATCTAATTTATCCAAGAAACCCACAGTGTGTGTTATTTTTCCCATTTTCAAGTGAGAAAAGCAAAGTTCAGAGAAGTTGCCTAGTAGCATAGCACAGAAAAGTGAGGAAGCTTGGATCTGAACTCAGACCTGTTGGGTGCCTGACCCATGTTCCTTCCAGAAGCAGGATGCCACTTGAGGACAGGACGGATGTTTTCTTAATGTTTGTATCCACTCCTCTTCATTAAGTAGATGCTTTTCTGCTACAGATGGAATGTTTGTGTCCCCAAATCCGTGTTGCATTCTAATTCCCAATTTGAGGTTGTTTGGAGGTGGGAGTCTCTAGGATTAGGTCATAAGGGTGGAGGTTAATGAATGAGCCCTTATGAAAGAGGTTCCAGAGACCTCCCTCACCTCTTCTGCCATGTGGGGACACAGTGAGAAGGCAGCTGTTTGTGAACCAGGAAGTGGGCTCTCACCAGACTCCAAATCAGCACCTTGGGCTTGGAATTCCTAGCTCCCAGAACTGTGAGAAATAACTTTCTGTTTTTATAAGCCAGCCAGTCTGTAATATTGTTATTGTAGCCCAAACGGACTGACACTTTCCATTCTCTGTCTCCAGCTAGATGGGTCTTTAGAAATGACAAGTTAGGGGCACCTGGATGGCTCAGTGGGTTGGGCCCCTGCCTTTGGCTCTGATCATGGTCTCAGGGTCCTGGGATCGAGTCCTGCATTGGGCTCTCTGCTCAGTGGGGAGCCTGCTTCCTCCTCTCTCTCTGCCTGCCTCTCTGCCTACTTGTGATTT